ACTCCATCCCATATGGTACGTGTATACCAAATTTCATAGAGGTTTGTTAAGCCGTTAAGACGCTATAAGGTAACAAACAAACCCAATTTCACATTTATAATATTAGTAAGTATATGCGTTTGAATTTCAGAAATTATATAAAGTTACTATATAAATATAAGAATTATTTAGTAACCGTGTAAATTTAAGGACTGGAATAGGTATTAATATTAAGTTTTAGAACTAAGAAAACGAACCTCAAAGTTCGTATCAGAGATCTTAACAACCTAGTTAATTACTTCGTCTTCTATTAATCCTCAGACATAATAATATTTGAAGTTTGAAGTTTGTATTACTACCACACCTTTATTACACTAAAGTCGATTGCTTGGGTACCTCTGTCCCATTCGTATTTCAACCGTGAAGCAGTTGTGTTTGCAAGGCTATGTTTCGGTTTAAATTCACGCCATATGTGGGATATATGGCGTGAATTTATTGGGTACAGAGGAATAACACCTGAGTCCTCAGGAATGACAACGCATGGGGAGTATCATGGGCGAAACAGTATACTCTATTATGTCCATGGTACTGCTCATGTCTATAGGCGACGGTTACCACTTTCCATTAGGTGGGCCGTCAGCTTGTTTGCCATTCTAAGTTGTATAAAAAAAAACACTCATCTGTATAGACATGCAAGTAAAAAAAATAAAAAAAGACAAAATAATATAATAAAATACGCATTTTGAATGTAAGTATATAAGTTAATTTGTATTAAGGTAAGCATATTTATTATTTCTTAGTAAAAACAACCTTGCTATTTCCTCTACTTATTGCACGCACACTGCCCGTTGGTAATTAATGCTCCTTTCCACTGAGGGTTTACTGGGAGAGAACTCTTACAGAGTTAAGCTCGCCTTTTATACATCTTTATTCCAAATAAATTATTACAATGTAATTTTTGTGGACAATAAAATATAATGAATGAATGAATAAATGAGTACACTTTATTTGCATTATACAATATAGGAAATAAACAAGGTAATTTATAAACACAACGATACAATTGTATAAGTACAGTAAGGCGGTCTTACTGAGAGCAATCTTTTCAGGACAACCTTAAGGTAATGGACTAATTGTTGTACAAGTAGGTATAATTAAGAAAGTACCTTTATCAAATTAAATATATATATATATATATATATATATATATATATATATATATATATATATAATTATTAACTATACAAATAAATAAAATAATAGTAAATATAATTACAATAATCATACTTGCCTGTACCACTCTCTCATTGCACCATGAACAGGTCATAGCATAATAATTGCACATTATATATCATCATCATCAACATATCACCCGTTCACCGTTTACTGCTGAACATAGGCCTCCCCTTACTAAAAGGTTCTGCCAGTAGTTGCCACGCTTGGCAGGTGGGTTGGCAACTGCAGTTAGTCTTTCGTAATGTTTTAAGAGGGACGCTGTTGCCCGTCCCTCAACCATTAAGTTCTCTCACCTTTTACGACATCCACGGGAAAAGAAGACATGGCTGATTCTATGCCGGGATCACACGGTAATTATTTTATTAGAAATACATACTTTATTATACTAAATTGTTGTAAATCTATTATTGTAAAATAAAAATTCAAACGTATTGACCTCAGGCTATGTATAAAATTTATAAGTATAATTGTTAAAAAGATTCTTACTTGTACCGCATATTTTCTTTCTCAACCACTTCGGGTGTCCCGTCGTCCGTATCAAATAGCGAGAACGGAAGCCCCAGTTCATTTAAGTGTACCAAATTAGAAAAAAAAAAAAATATAAGACATTCAACATAGGTCAAGAACCAGCATAAGTATGTATATTTATGTCAACTTTGTTCAGGTTGAGAGTTGGCATATTGAAAGCCTAGATTATATTGAAAGATTGTATAATATATCTAAGATAATTTCTTGATGAGTTCATAATCTTATTAATATAGGTATAACAAACTTGTAACTATGTAGACGATGCCTGTACATGAGGGATATTTAGGAAAAATTTATAAGGGGGTTTTAATAAAAGTAAGTATTGCTCACAACTCAGGTTACATGTTTATTTCTATAACTAATAACGCAACTTTTAAAATATTTGTAGTCTAGTGTTATTTAATTCATTATAATTGTTACTTAATTTTCTCGCACTGTATTTATTATGTTAAAATAAATGCTGTGAATACCTATAATAGGCACGTGCATTAATATTGTATTATATTTAATGTTTGTTATATATGTTATAATGCAATATGCTCCTGGTGTTCCCTTAAATAAATAAATAAAATAAAAAATAATCTCTCTTCAGTCGTACACTCTTGACAGAGTGCTCGTGGTTTTTATGACGATAGATCTTCTTCACGATTGAAGTCCTCGCAATGCGTCTCCATCTACTTCTGCTCACAGCCGAGCGAGAGCATTCCACAATAGACTGCTGTGTGGCCGTTTTGATGAGGTCAGTCCATCGCGTTGGTAATTTACTCCAAGGACGTTTGCCTTGTATTTGTTAGACAGTTTTTTTTTTATACTACTTAGAAAGGCAAACAAGCTGACGGCCCACCTGATGGAAAGTGGTAACCGTTGCCTATAGACATGAGCAGTACCATGGACATAACAGAGTATACTGTTTCGCTCATGATACCCAGTAAATTCACGCCATATCCCACCCTTCAAACCGAAACATACCCATGCAAACACAACTGCTTCACGGTTGAAACACGAATGGGACAAAGGTACCCAAGCAATCGACTTTTGTACAAAGTTTCCCTCTGGTTTGACTAGTTTGACGTTCCATACAATTTTCATTCCGGATAATATGGCCAAAGTACTTGAGAATTCGTATTTGAACAGCCGACGATAATCTCTCTCCGATTTTCAGTTCGTTCTGATAGGAAATAAAAGTAATAAAAATCAAATATAAAATTTTTAGATATTTTGTCTATACCTGTCTGCCTATATATATTTTTACAGGATCACACAAAAATTACTGCACCAAATTGAATGTAGCTTTTCTAGATAATTTAATAGTTTGTTTTATATTAATACGCCATCTTGAAGTAGTTTATTTAATTGTTTTTATCATTTATGCATACGAAGCAACGGACAAATAGCTAGTATGAAATAAATTATATATAGACAGTATTTAGTGGATATAGACAGTGTTTAGTCTCTAGTTTAGTGCATGCAACATTAGATTGGATGCAATTATGAAAGGGTAAGTAGTTATGTTCCACACGTCGCTTCCATGCACCGTTGGCGTCAGTGCAGCAACTTGGTGCATTAACAAGCTTTTAAGCGCAACTTCATCTGCAAGGCCGTGTAGTTCAGTCGTATAGGGGGTTGAACCTCGGGATGAGAGATAAAACCCTGAAAATTTGCATTGACCTTTATTTCGCCATTCTAAATGTTGCCTATTGAAGCAACTCATAAAATCTCGTGTCCCCGTCTTAAGATATTCAAGATCAAAAGTAAAAAAAAACAATTAACCTCTCTATTACTAACCCTTTCATATTTCTCCCCTATACATATTTGTTCAATAGCACTTACTAATATATTGTTGTTGTTGGGAAAGGGATTGTTAGCAATGGAGTTTGACAGCCCCATTGCTAGTAATATGCCTTATTAGGTCGACCTCCACGTGGATCCCCTGGAAACCATCGTGAACAATTCTTGTTGAATTCGTCACGATGGGCTAACTGACCTGCTTCATCCTCATCTATCATCCTTCACTGGTGCCCCGCCGGTGTATACTGATAGCGCGGGTGGGGTTACCATTCCATTATCATCCATTAATAAAAAAATTATATATTGTCCCAAAATTAAATATTGGTTGTCTAATAAATAATATTGAAATGAAGTATCCGACTAAAACAAATAAAGATTCCCGACTAGTATCGGCGATATCGAAATGGGTGATATATACGAGTACATATCGAAGCGGTACCGACCTTACCCATACCTACCAAGTAGTAACAAGTAAACAAACTCACATTTATAATATCGGCATAATATTTCTTTTTACTTGAAATAAGTTAAGTACACGTGAGTTAAAACAATTCATGGAAACCAACGCTAGTAGCATTTCACGGAATTGTAATAAACAAAGCAATGATTTTGTACTCGTATGAAGAAAAAAAATCCACACTCGGTTATTTGTCGGAAAATTAATTTTCCTTCCACTAAACCGATTTTATATGGGAAAAATAAATCCTTCTTGATTATCCGGTTATGGGAAAACAATTTTCCTAATATATTAGAGAAAAAAATATTTTACTTTTTTTATGAAAAATAAATCCATAAATAAAAAGATTAGACGCGACGTCGTTTTCTTAAAAACTTTTTATAATTCTCATATTATCAGAGGGAGACAAAAGTAGTTTCTTTGGGCACCGCTGTCCCATTCGTGTTTCTACCGTGAAGCAGTTGTGTTTGCATGGCTGTGTTTCGGTTTAAAAGATAGGATACGGCAGTGAATTTACAGGGTACAGATGAATAACATCTGAGTCCTCAGGTATAGTAACGCATGGAGGGTATCATGGGCGAAACAGTATACTCTGTTATGTCCATAGTACTGCTCATGTCTATAAGCGACGGTTACCACTTTCCATCAGGTGGGCCGTCAGCTTGTTTGCCATTCTAAGTTGTATAAAAAAAAATATAATAATTTAAGATTATATTCCACAAACAAAACCGACATTAATTGCGGTAAAATCAGTTATTTTGACTTAAAAACTAAACTTCTAAACCTATTTTAATAAAATTTCTATTGGACCAATCTGTAAGTATATCTTTTCAGATAAAAACAAAAGAATTTTCCAAATCGATTCATAACTGACGGAGTTATGAGGTAACAAAGATAAAAAAAAAACACAACCGAATTGAGAAACTTTATTTTTTTAAATCGATTGTTTTTTTTTTATTTTATTGACACATAAAACAGATCACAACCATAGAAAACTTAAGTAATAATTACATTTGTGATTCGGCTAGGTTATAATCCAATTACATTATGTGCACAGCTTGAGTAATTCATTAAAAGCAAACACATAAAATAAAATAAAAATACTTAAAATGTTATATAAATATGTATATAAAAGATAAAACTATATAAAAAAAAAACATATTTTTAATCATATTCTACAAAATAGAAAACAAGTTCTTCCTAAAGAGTAAAGATTGCAAAAATATATAGATATTTGTTTGTTTTTTAAATAGACATTTATTAAGACATACACATCTGAATGGTCATAAGATATTATTACTTATGATAACGTAATTGTCGTTCGTTCGTTTCGGAAACTGGCAACTCACTGTATTGTTCAATCTCGTAATCTCAGTATGACTGTACAGCAATGACCCGACGATTCTTATATACTTAGATGACATATTATTTATAATTGCATACGCTGTGTAAAACACGCTTGTGTGGATGTTCCAGTAAATTGACATTGACCGATAACCCCTTGTCACTATGTACCAGGTTTCATGTGTTATCCTAATCATATTGTGTCACACTGAAGCTTGTGAGTATGTATACTTATTATTTTTTTTTAATTAATAACGCATGTGACTTTATTCGCGGGAATTTATTTTTAACTATTTTTTTTTATGGGTGAAAATGGTATGGTAACCCCGCCTGCGCCAACGGGATACACTGGCGGAGCACCAGTGAAGGGTGATAGATGAGAATGAAAACAGGATAGTTAGCCCATCATGATGAATTCATCAGGAATTAACCATGATAGTTTTCAGGGGGAACCGCAAGGAGGTCGACCTGGTTGGGTATATTGCTAGCAATGGGATAACTATATATTTTACTATATAACTTCGTCTTTAATAAACCGATTTAGCAAATGATGTTACCGATAGATCCATTTTTGTTATCGCACGTGTAGGTAAGGATAAGAAAGATATTGCGCTCTCGTTCTGTTTCATACGTATTTCAATTGTGTCAAAAGAGTTATCACGCACATGTAGTATTTTGACATTATCATACTTTACTACAATGTTTATCAAAAAGACGTAATAAATTGTGCTATTTAAATACAGTTTCGGTAATTAAAACTACGCGTTTGCTTTTAAATAATACCTACATATCTACTTAATTCTTATTACTGCTGTCGTTTTATGTATATACAATCTGTTTTGATAGAATTCAATGAAAAAGTAAGCACGTATTGTTGTAGTTTATTTATGTATTTATACTTTTTTGTTTACACTAATAATACATAAAAAAATATGACACAGGTAAGCAAATGTACAAAGGCGAGCTTAACTTTAAAAGAGTTCTCTTCCAACATACCTAAAATGGAAAGGAACATCAATGTCAGCGGGTAGGGCGGTGTACAATATTGTAACAATTTTAGAACAAAAAAAACTTGGCAAACTTATACATCCAAGTACTTACATATTCAATTATATCACACACACACGCACACACGCACGCACACGCACACGCACACGCACACGCACACACACACACGTATGTGTGTGTGCAAACTGAGTTGTGACCATTTTGTATACGAAAGGAAAAATTATGTTACTTCTTTTAGGTATTTTCTTTTTTTTTGTATATATATATTCTTTTACTTTATATCTACTTTTGTAAGTAATGCAAATAAATTATACATCTAAATTATTCGATGTTTACTGTAAATTCTTTATATCGCATATTACATTTCATGCTATTCGCAACACTGTCTTATCCTTACGACATATAGATTAGCGTGGATTAAACGTAATCCATATTCATAGCTAAATTTAGCCCCACGAATGTACGTGTAGCTAGGGATTTAGTGTTGTTTTGTTTAGTTCCACCGCCATTAGTATGCGTACGACCACCAACCCTTTGTGAGGTGGACCCCACCTTCATTTTCGTGTAATGTAACTGTGTTGTTCTGAATAAATTACATTTTCAAGTCAAATTTGTATTTCCATCTCTTTCTTTTATCTTTTAATAGCAAAGTAAATTATATTAAGTATAATATTAAAATTCAAGACTGACTTCATGTGGAATTGTTGGAAGCATACTACAATATTATGTACACAAAAAAGAGAAGAATTGAAAGTATTTTACTTTTTTTTATACAATTTAGAATGGCAAACAAGCTGATGGCCGACTTAATGGAAAATGGTAACCGTCGCCTATAGACATGAGCAGCGCCATGGACATAACAGAGTGTACTGTTTCGCCCATGATACTCCCTATGCATTGCCATTCCTGAGGACTCAGGTGTTATTCTTCTGTACCCTGTAAATTCACTGCCTTATCTCACCTTTCAAACTAAAATACAACTATGCAAACACAACTGCTTCAGAGTAGAAACACGAATAGGACAGAGGTGAACAAGCGAACGACTTTTGTACAAAGTCTCCCTTTAATATTAATTATTATATGTTATTAATAGTCCGATTAAGGTTTTTTATACAACAATAAAAAAAAATTTGGACTGGAGAATATGTACCAGGTCAGCTTGTAAATAATAGAACCACAGCGCACTGACTAGTCTAATCCCAAACTATGTTAAAGCTTTTATTTTTTATTGGGTGAATATGGAATGATAACCCTGCCTGCGCTATCGGTATACACTGTCAGTGAATGACAGTAGCTGAAGATGAAGTTCAAGTTAGTTGGCCCATCGTCACAAATTCATTGAGAATTATTCAAGATGGTTTTCAGAGGGGATTGCGTGGAGGTCGATCCGACATAGTGTATTGTTAGCAATGGGACCATTAAAGTCTATATTAATAATATTTTTTCCCCTCTCGTGTGCTTATATTATACTATGGGTACTAGACATTTTTTTAAGTACACACATTTAATAGATAGTAAAAATACCTTGTTTACAAATGTTTTGTTTATACGGGAATCAATCCCAAAACTATGCTTACCTATCTATAGTTCTGATTTTGACTCCCTGCTTCCCATTTACCAAGTTGAACTAATACACCATTGAGGTCAAATATTCGATATAATTAACTCGTGTTTCTCTCTTAGTAAACCCGGAACTATGTCAAGCTAAACCGCGGGAGAAGCATTGCCTCATCGAATGGATGGCGCGGCATCGGTGGCCACATACTATAAGGTATATATACTTATATTCAGTCACTTAGTGCTAACTTAGTGCTGACATAAACTTCGCTTACGTTCACTTTACTGACACTAAAACTGTCTTTAAAGTTATAGTAGCATTACGTTCAGGTAGTATCTAGGTATGCTTGAGTCGTAACTGGGACATAAATCGATCAGCATGCACCGTAACGCGATGGTTTACATGTAGTTTAGCGTAAATTTGAAAAATTGGCCTCAACAGAATATCAGTGTTTTGCTCTTTTGAGGGCGAAGCAATAAACTGAGTTGTTCCCATTTTGTGTTACTATATATATATATACACGCGTGAAAGAAGGAAATTTATATTTTTTGCTTTTTTTGTTGCTTTCTTTTGTTTTTCATACTTTTATCTTTTTAACTGTGTCTGTATGACTGTATGTCTGTATTATGTGTATGTTTATTTGTGTACTGTAAGTAATGCAAGTAAATTATCTATCTATCTACCTAAATATGGTTGTAGGTTGAATTTTTTTATGCCACTTAGAATAGAAAATAAGCTGACAGCCCACCTTATGGAATGTGGTAATCATCGTCTATAAAAATGAACAGCACCATGGATATCATAGAGTATAGACACCAAGACACCCATAAATACCCTTCATGAGTTGGCATTTCTAAGCACTAAGGTGTTATACTCTGTGATTTCACTGCCATATCTCACGATTACAAAGCAAGTGACATTTGATTATAAATAATCTAAACATAAAATATAAAATTACATAGTTTAAAGTTGACAAGTTGGGTTTCGTTTGGACTGGCTGGTTCTGAATGGCTGGATCTGGCTGGCTAGTTCTAGAAAGTTGCTAATGAATGGCTAATTCTGAATGGCTAATTCTGTTGACTGTTTAGTTAGTTTGGATTTTTGTTTTTCTTGCGATCCTCGGAGTTAAATATTGTCCGAATAAGTAATTAAAGATGGACTAAGCCCATCATCATCATATCGGCCGTTAACTGTCTATTGCTGAACATGAGCCTCTCCCTTGGGGGTGAGGGGGGAGATTACCAGTAGTTGCCATGCCTTGCAGGCAGGTTGGCAATCTCAAGCTTTGATATTTTTTTAAGAGGGACGCTGCTGCCCATCCCTTGACCTATAACTACGTACTTATAATACATTCTAATTAATTATTATTCCAGATATGTATACGACTGGGTGACCCGAAACTGTTTCGAGATCAGATGGTCACACCACTGTCCTAAAGTAGCAACACCGGCAGTCACTAACAACTTTCCGAGCCAGCAGGAGTGTATGGATGAATGCGCCGGTTGGAATTAGATGCAATTAAAACTTAAATTAACGTTTAACAGTATTTTATTAGTTTTCCTATTGCTAACTGTGGGTGTAGTATGTAGTTTATTTATTTATTGGTATATCAACAGTTTATGTATAAATTGTTTTTTTTTTTATTTTATTTTGGTACGAACAGTTTTTACAAAAAAAAAATATAGTTACATTTTTTTATTTTATGTAAAAATAAACAACGAGTACGGAAATATATACAATAGTATAAATGTATATAGTTAATTTACAAAATTGAACCATACGCGTACAAAGTAAACATATAGAGAGATGAAATGATATAGTGATGAAATGATTATATAGAAAAAAAACGGATACATATAGAGTTGTAGATAATTGACATATATTACTTAATAACACAAATGTTCTATAAACATTATAAGCAAATATAATATCAAAGTGAAACAAAGTGACAGGAACACCAACCCCTCACCAGAGGGAGACTTTGTACAAAAGTCGATTCCATAAATAAAAAGATTAGACGCGACGTCGTTTTCTCAAAAACATTTAATAATTCTCATATTACCAGAGGGAGACAAAAGTAGTTTCTTTGGGTACCTCTGTCACATTCGTGTTTCTACCGTGAAGCAGTTGTGTTTGCATGACTGTGTTTTGGTTTGAAGGGTGGGATATGGCGTGAATTTACAGGGTACAGAGGAATAACATCTGAGTCCTCAGGAATGGCAACGCATGGGGGATATCATGGGCGAAACAGTATACTCTATTATGTCCGTGGTACTGCTCATGTCGATAGGCGACGGTTACCACTTTCCATCAGGTGGGCCGTCAGCTTGTTTGCTATTCTAAGTTGTATAAAAAAATCGTTAAAAATTGTAATTATTGTTATAATACAACAATTAATATAGACATGGTAATTAATGCAAACTATTTATAAATGTACACATCATTGGTTATATAATAATCATGTTATAAATATGAAATGATTTAAATGATTTGTATTTGTTACAAGAACACTACATTTAGGAAAGAGAAAAAAGATATTTGGATTGTGTGGCGGCTCTTAATGTGATGTACTAGTTTATACTTGAAGGTACGTTGTGAGTCATGGACAATATCGAGGGCCTTTATCTTTGGGTTAAGCTTATTATAAAGGAACATATTCTTGGAATAGGTTGGTGTAATCCTAAATTAGTTTTATACGAGACTGAATGTTTAGTCTAATGCTAATACTAAGAAATAGTACTATTATATATTATATATACTGTGGTTTTAAGATGACAAGTTAGCCTACTTATAATATAGGATTTAGGCTTAGTAAGGAATTCCAGTTTCTATAGAGATTATTTTCTATATAGTTTTTTCCTTTCCACCAATAAGGTGACAAAGGAAGCATACGACCCGTCTGTTGGGTTCTTGTTGAAGCGTGAATTTACTAGGTACAGAGGAATAACACCTGAGTCCTCAGGAATGGCAACGCACGGGGGGTATCATGGGCGAAACAGTATATTCTGTTATGTCCATGCTACTGCTCATGTCTATAGGCGACGGTTACCACTTTCCATCAGGTGGGCCGTCAGCTTGTTTGCAATTCTAAGTTGTATAAAAAAAAAACAGTTACCGTAGCTAATGGATAACTTCAACATCAGAGTTATGACATGCATTTTGCCGACCCTGAAGAAACTAAAACTAATATACACTCTTTTTTATAAATGCTTCATCCTAAACCACCTGCATTTACTGACTTTTTACAAACATTTAAGATCTTAAATGCAAAGACCCACCTGAGTTTGATATCTACGATTCTAAAAAACCTGTGATTTTCTAGTAATTTTACGAATGTAACGTTAAAGTATGGATTTATTATAATACTAGCTGTTGCCAGCGACTTCGTCCGCGTTTCCGTCGTTTTTCGTAAAATAAGTAGCCTATGTCCTTCCTCACGGTTCAGTGGTTTTGATGTAACAGATACATTTTCCCTTCACTGCTCTGCTCCTATTGATCGTAGCGTGGTGAAAAGTATACTATTACCTGCCAATGAATATGAAAAATAATTGTACCAAGTTTCGATAAAATCCGTCGAGTAGTTTTTGTTTCTATAACGAACATACAGACAGACATACAGACAAAAATTTTACTGATTGCATTTTTGGCATCAGCATCGATCACTAATCACCCCCTGATAGTTATTTTGGAAATATATTTCATGCTATGCTAACGGTATACGCTGGCGGGGCACTAGTGAAGGACGATAGGTGAGAATAAAAAGGCAGGCCAGTTAGACTATTGTAATAAATACACCTGGAATTCAGCACGATGATTTCCAGGGAGAACCACGTGGAGGTCAAGCTGACAGGGTATATTGCTAGCAATGAGCCTGGTAGTTCAATTACTAACAATCCCTTCCCCCTAGTATATAGTCTTTTGATAGGTGAAAATGGTATGGTAACCCCGCCTGCGCCAACGGGATACACTGACGGAGCACCAGTGAAGGGTGATTAGATAAGAATGAAAACAGGCCAGTTAGCCCATCATGATGAATTCATCAGGAATTAACCATGCTAGTTTCCAAGGAGAACCGCGAGGAGGTCGACCTGGTTGGGTATATTGCTAGCAATGGGATTCTCAGTCTCCATTATTAACAATCCCTTCCCCCTAGTATATAGTAGGTACTACTTTTTATTTCTTGTATATCAAACAAGGAGAATTTTAGTACCAATAGGGGAGATTGTTTTAAATGGGAATCTAATAGCCCCATTGCAGAGGAAACAGGGATTTTTAGTTAGATAATCACCCCATCAGGTCGACGTTCTTTTTTTTATACTACTTAGAAGGGCAAACAAGCTGACGGCCCACTTGATGGAAAGTGGTAACCGTCGCCTATATACATAAGCAGTACCATGGACATAACAGAGACATATACTGTTTCACCCATGATACCCCCCATGCGTTTCCATTCCTGAGGACTCAGGTGTTATTGCTCTTTACCCAGTAAATTCACGCCATATCCCACCCTTCAAACCGAAACACAGCCAAGGAAACACAGCTGCTGAAACACGAATGCGACAAAGGTACCCAAGCAATCGACCTTTATACAAAGTCTCCCTCTGGAAAACGTTCACGCAGTCCCCTCTGAAAATCTTGTAGAATTCATCACGATGGGCTAACTGACTTGCTTTGGTGCTCATTATTTATCTCTTATTGCTGCTCCACCAACGTATACGAATTGATAGAAAACAGATACATCAATCTAGAATAGTCCGTTTCGTATATTTCATTTGCACGAATGTGCCTGTTTTTACCAATGGAGCGATCTGCAAACTCAAGGGAGGGTTTACTGATGAAGGTCGCAAGATTGAGATTTTGTTGGGCTAGCCATCCGTCACAAATAATACGTTTTCCGGTTTCAAAGCCACGCAATGTCTATAACAGGGAAATACGGAATTTCGTGACGTCCTTAGGGATATTTCGCGAACCTCTGTTTGTAATAAGGTAGATTCTTTGTAATACATGAACATATGGCTGAAATAAATGATACTACTTTGTAATGCGTGTTGTGTAGAAGGATTATATTTCTTTTTCAGCTTACTTCAAGGAGATTATCAATAAGGGAGGGGTACTTTACGCAAAGTCTGCGAAGAGGGTGCAACATGAAAATTTACTGATAAAGTGAATAAAGGCAGGAAAATAAAGTTTTTTAATATTATATTTTCCCGTCT